TTTTACTTTGACACTTACTCCATTTATATTTGGCACTTGAAGCTAAATGAGAGAAATTGACTGAGAGAAAAAAAGCTTCTTCGTCCTATTTTTGGAATAAAGCAAATATCGCCAAATACGTTTACAGAGCCTCTTATTGACAGAAATACGATATTGATAGAGCATCCTGTACAGTCTACTAACTCTCCGCACGATATTGTGGCTAATTGCATTTGCACGATGCTAGTATCCAATATACGACGTCTCCTATCATTTTTATCTAATTACCGAGTTATTAACTTACCACCCGCTCTCTCCGAGGAAACTCTCAGAAGCGAGAGAGAAACGCAACGCGATCTTCCGATACTGCAACGATTTTCCCCCTCCTCCATCAAGGTCTGGGCGCCCAATAAAAGAGTTTATCGAGGTATCGTTCGAAAGATAAAATTGAAAACCCAGTTCCTCCTCCCAGCCGTACCATAGAAATGGTCGTTCAATATCGACAGTCTACTCTACCTACTTGGCGCGACGCAGTCGGCGGGGCGAGTTGCGCAGGAGTGAGGTGCACCATATTTTACGGCAATCAAAAGTTCGCCGATGGAATCTTCCCGATCGTAAACAGCGTAACGACGCTCGGGGCCGAAATTTATCGCAAATTAGTTTCGTACCTGTGCGTTTTACGTGCGCGGCATGCAGATGTATAAGAATATAAGTCACGTATGCCATAGATAAAGAGTATTATTCTTACCCTTATTGATCCATAATTCGATCCTAAAAAATTCCAAAAACGACCGAATTCGCATCGTAAAACGTGAAGTGTATAACGCGCACACGACCGTACCGTGTCTATCTTGGACCATCTGATGGCGCACAAACAAAGACGTTTCATGCGAATAAAGCAATAGCAAACTACCGTTGTTAATTCCGCCGTTCTCCCTGACTCAAATGACCCTTTAACTTTCGCGAAAGATATACGAGCGCTTGACAGCTCGCGAGTCGTCCAGAATAGCCGAAATGTTTTAAAGAGTTGTGGATATTCTTGCCCTGCGTTGCGTGGGCAATTAGCGGACGAAAAGTCGCCGACATCACGACGTTATTACCCACTGAATAACGAAGCGTCGTAATTCATATCGAAGAAGTAAGTATGTTGCGTACCAGGACTAGTTGATAGGACGTTCGTGTTGCGCTTGCGTCTCGTAAATATTCATTTAATCTGATCTAATCTGTATGAACATATTCCGCGCCTTGCGTAATTGCCGGCGAAATTGCAAATCGATATCTAAATGGCCTGACCCCCTTTGTAACAGTAAGCATTGCCCGGTATATCGAGATAATAGAAGGGGAAGCGAGTCGGGGGCGTCGGGAGAGAACGAAGGGAAACGGCGACGAAACGATCACGGCCGAAATTACAGTGGCGGTGGAAAAAGATGTGTTACCCAAACGGACCGTGATCCGATGTCGGGGATATCTATTACGCTCGAAACCAGACTCGGGCTTCCGCGTATATTATCGATTCACGTCGCTCCGTCAATTACCCATCTTATAGAGCGGAACGCGCGGAATCGACAACTGGATTCAGTTAGGTATATAATCCGTCTCTACCGGCAAGTGACATTGATATTCCTGGCGCGTGAGTAATTCGTGCGCCCGCTAAGTGTTGAGCGAGATCTGTCCTGTGCATAAACGACAAACGACGTAACGAGCGTAGAATCAAATTAAAACGCAATGACGCTTTACCTCGGCCATCTCATTATCTATTCGCGCCGTGTGAGCGTGTGACTCGCCATGCGAGCCGCGACCGTCGCGCGTCGCCGAAGCGCGATAATAATGAATCATCCGTGAAATTATTTTGTCCTTTAAATACGATTATAATACGCTGGTGTGTATGCAAATTTCTCGCTACAATGGAAACAGGGGTTAAATCGACTTCAGTTGATTGTGCAAAATCTGTTACACAAAGCAAGTTAGTCTGAATTGGGTCACTGAATAGAATTCGCTTTGTAACTCGCTTTCATCGCTGTTTGAATTGCGTCGAGGAATGTGCAATCGAAAAAAAATTATAATAATAATGTAAATATCGGATAAATAATTTTTCGACAAATTTATCTCGAGAAACATTGTTGATTTGTCTCTTTTACGAACGACTGATAGCAAAAGTCCGCGGAAAATATAAGCAAATCAATGCAACGGTGGCAAGACAGGAGATATACATTCCGCGGGAAAGATACGTGACTCGGGGTGATGAGGGTTCGCCTTGTTGCACGAGAGAGGGAAGAAAATTGGCCCAAATCCACGAAATTCAAATGGGTCGTGCCGAGTCGCCATGAGGATCCCTTTCGTGGCTCGTTTCCACATGTGTGGAATATCGTCGGCCAGACGGGTCTTCCTCCCGGTGTACGTGCGGCGGAGGGCAAAGGAAATTGCGGTAGAGGCGGAAACCAAAGCAACGCTGAAATTCGTGCAATACCACGCCCCAGCAACGCATCTAATAACAATACTTGCATTAGGTCATGGCGCTCCCGATGTAGACAGCCCAGAGAGATGTAGCTTAATGTAGCGCGCGCGTTCGCGTTCGTTGTTTCGTCTCTCGCGCTGTTTGAATGTAGACGAAGCGGAGTGCCTCTTGTTTCAGGATTGCTTGAATTAAATATGCACAGGCGGTGTCACTTTTGTGCCATTCAAGAACGAAACGTGGAATTATGCACGGCGCGTAAACCGTTCGGATTGCCCTTTTGTTCGGCGCTCGGTCACGCGATAGTTTTAATTCATTTATCTCAGAATGGCATCGAAATTCGCATTCAGGAATCGAAATAGATGGGCAAGAGAGAGATATCCCGATGGCAGTCCGATTCGAGGAATAGTCCGATACAATTCGATATGAACGTCGATAACGCACCCGGCGAATACAGCGGCGGTAACACGTTTACGCAGCAAGATGGGCAAACAGAAAATTGTACCAACGGTGTGCAGCTGTTTAAACTATCGTACTCGCTGAGTGCACAGCTCCGATTAATCCGAAGGGTGCTTCAAAAACAGTGCCGAAATACAATGCACATTTTTTTCCGGTAATCGTGCAGATCCACGATGCGTCAGGAATTTTTTCGCCCGAAACTTCTATACAGACTACTTTGATACAATAAAAGAATTCATATTGCAGAGAACTTATAACGCTGAACGCGAGCGATAAAAAAATTTTCATGTATTTATTTCGTTCCAAATATGATTCAACTATAATAAGCTATCCATATGATATGTTAATTAATAAAGTAATCGACAAAACCGTCCCGCTCTCTTTTAATCCAGCTATGAATATACGGCTATTTAACGAAGACAGTTTCATATTGGAAAAATGACGGGACGAGTTATTGTGGCAGAAATTCGCCGCGGAAATTATCTCGAAATTATATTTCGACTTCGATTTCGGTATCATTCCTACGTGCGGCGAAGTGAATTATGATCTCAAGACGCGCATATAAATTATACGTTATCGTTAAATGTGCAAACGCACGCGCATGTATACGCATGGACGTACACACACACACATACATGCACGGCCGTAAAGCCTCTGCTGCATCGGATACGGTAAACTCCGCTTGCAATCTCCCGATAAATTGTTTTAAGTGGATTACCAGCGCGGGTCTCTCGGAGAACTCTACACGACGATATTAACGATGGCAGAACGACGACGAGAGAGTTACGATAAATCACACAATTGTTCGGCAAAGCCTCCCCGGCATAAGAAGCAAGGCGAGAAACGTGTTTCACCACTACTACCACCACCACCACCACGACCAGCACCACCACCACCACCATCGTCGAATATTCCGATCGCGTGAAGCAGTTACGCTGAAACCGTAGATCTGATACAAGCGATATTTTAACGTAATGTCACTACATACAGTACAGTATATAGCAGTGGTATATAATAAAGCATAAAGAGAAAGAGAAACACTTATCGTTAAACGCATCAATATTACGGAGGCTATATAGTTTTCGTTATTACGCTGTCACTCTCGTATCGCGACTTCGACCGCCTCCGTTGGGATATTATTGTTACGGCATTCTGAATGCGAGAGCGTGATGTCGCTTCGTTATTATTACGGGTCCACTTGGGCGATGCGCATACTATCGAGCGGCAACGTTCGAAGGAGAATGTCGACAGTAACATGGACTCTATATACGTGGACTCTATATTCCTCATGAATGTGAACGCAGTATTAGACTACGGAATATGCAGGGGAGGGTGGGCACGAGGCGCAATAAGTTCTCGCTGGCGGAATCGTATCGAACGTGAGTCCATTTATCAGGCACCGACTTGATCGTAGAGCGCAAACAGATGGTATTCCGTTCTCAATACGTGTATGGAGCCGGCTCGAAGGTTGACTGCAGCTGACTGGACGGCACACGGCGGACACGCGTGATCGCGTGTATTTGCTCGATTACACTACGTGTCACGTTTTCGAACACATAGCAGACAAATGGATATATCGCCGCGAGCACGAGAGCGCAGAGTACACCGCCCTTCTCGATAGAAATCTCGTAGTCTTTATCAGGGAGGAACTCTACCCTGTGAACAAAAATTTCTTCGCGACTCTCTTAAAATGTGGAGAATAACTATGCGCGTCGTTCGACAGCGTATCGTATATCGAGAGGGTGGAGATAGACCGAGATACTTTATGGCGTGTAGCGTGGAACTTTAAATATTTCACGGCACTTATATTTATACGAAGCTAAAAATGCGAGTAGCTCGCACGCGGGAAAGTCACACAATACTATAGTAACCGGGACATGCCGTGTGTTCAAAGTTACCGCGGTGTTGCAAGAAATTGAAGCGTGGTAAAAATAAAAGATGTTTGATCATGCACGCCGCGATAAAACCAACACGTCCGATGAATACGGTCTGCTCGTAACACGAGAGGCGAAGTGACAGAGAAACTTTCTACGGGTGCAATCTATATATTTTATCGAGGTCGGACTTCGTCCATATATATTTTTCATACGGTTTATGTATGTATTATACTTACCAAGTGGGTACAATGCCTAATTGTAAGTTATGCTTTCATCTTTCCGGATTAAAGTATCCTAGAATGCATAAAACGTCAACTTTAAACAGTATAACGTACAGAGATTTTTGCTGGTTGCTCGCGAAGAGATTGCTATTAATAAAATAAACTTTTCGGACATTGAACTACATGAGGGAGAAGCTCCCGCGAGCCGGTATACGCCGCCCATTTCTAATCTTGCGCGGACAACGCGCGCGGGGATGTCTGGCATGAAAATGGTAATTTATCCGGCGACCTCGCTCGCGCGCGTTCGTAACATGTAGAAGCGGGCAACCTTGCCGTGTACCTCGTATGCTCGATTAATCATTTAGCTGCCTAATGGCCTCTGTGAGATTCGGCGCGTACATGAGACGGAACGACGTGGCGTACATTTCGGCCGGGCACGTTATTTCGTATGGCGAAAGGTCTCGCTTTTCGGAACAGTATAGCGGATCCTTTTGGTCTCACGCGAGGGTGGTAACCCCGACGAGAGTCGAGCGTTCGCTTCTGATCGAATTCTTACACAGGGGAAACGACCGTGACGGTGCGACGACGACGTTATCGCTATGACGGTACCGAATAGGGCGATAAAGTCTGAGCTGGAATGAGCAGAGATGACAAGAGTGTGAGAAAGAGAGAAGGGAAGACTCGTCACTGTATCGCCGATGTCGGCTCGACGACGAACAGGAGAAGGAAGAAAAGTGAATGGCTAGACGGGATGGACGGGTGCGTGCTCGGGGGGATGTTTCTGGGAAAACCAGGGAAAACGATGCCGAGGGTTGTTTGCGTGTCACCGTTACATTTATTGGCAGCAGATACGGTGATGCGTCAGATCGTTAGGGAAAGAGACCTTAAATAGACAGTCTTTCACGCTGCCTACCCCTCGCCCCGCCTGAAAAGTGAAGATGAAGCAAAAGAACAGGGTGAAGGGGAACGTGGAAGCGGATAGGGGAGAGAGGGGTGGAGGATGGAGTTTATGTGGCGTTGATAACGGATGAAAAATGGAGAGTCACGGGTCCTGATTAGAATCGAGAATATGAATCGGCCCTTTCGATCGTCAATATTCATGGATGCGGCAGCAGCGCTCCGGGCAAAATTCTCAGTTAAATGGAAAAAAAATGAATAGGCGCTGAGGAAACAATTGGACGGACGCGCTTCTGTATTGTATACAAAGCAATTAAAGATACAGAATGCAGAAATGACAGTCTATACCAATGATCGATGACCGATAATTAAACGATGGAAAGCAGATATGTGCTTCATCTATTTACAGGCGAGCGAGTGAGAATAGCGAGATTAATTCTATGACATAGGATCAAAAATATCAATTTGTACAGAATTAATAATCGGAGCAAACAATCAAGTTTTAAATTTATCAAGAAAGAGAGCGTTTTCTCGTGTACTGTAATATTTCAGGTTTATCGCAACTTGCTTAATAAGTAATTTAACAGCTAGTTAGACTATAATACATAGCAAAATCGATACTGATTGAAAAGAGCACGAAAATGCGAATTGTTTTGCGTGTACTGGCAACGGACTAAATGTTGAATATCGTCAGGAATTAATTAACGCTTCCCAATCAACTGCTTGCTTACTGCAACGAGCGAATGAAGTGCTTTTAACGTGCTTCTCATGCAGAAAATTTGTTTCAATTTATTTACACTTACAATGTGTAAGCATGACGATTCTAATTTTACATTGGTGCAAAATATTTGCGAACCTGCCAGTTGCGCTGTAGTTCAAGGCAAACGAGCGTAACGCTCGTAGTTTGCCTCTTCACCATTACGTTGCGTTGTACCTATCGGCTGGCACCTGCTCTGCTGTATCCCCGGTGATATTGTCATTCGGTGCCATTCGATGCTGTTATCGAATGTTTACGAGACATTTAACGGTGTTTTTGATGCGAACGGGAAACTATAGACAAGTGTTTTGTATTTCAAAAGCTTATTGAATTCTAAACTGACTACTAGTAGTAGTACTTTGTAGAAAAATTCTATTTTATTAATGTACAAGCATAAATTAATCAGCTAATAATTTACTTGATAACACTGACAGACTCGAATTTTTATTTCTACAAAAAAAAATGTTTATACACTATAAATGTGAAGCAAAGTCGAATCTCTCGAAAGAAAATTTTCAGAAAAGATTTTTGTCGCGAGAAATTCTATCTTATTGTTAAAAGCTTTCTAACGATTTCCGGTGCGGCGGAATACTAACATACGAAGTTATGGTTTTTGTTACTCCGTATTTCATACTAAAGCTCAAGGAAATTACGGCTAGCGTGGTAATGAATTATTGTACGTCGGAAACACTATTGTAAGACCGAAACTTGGAAATTGTAAAGTTGAAGATTGTAGAACATAGTCTCTGCTTATTTAGAATAATGTACGCTATACAACTACAAATAAATGGAAGTATTAATTGACGCGAATAAGGAAACAAGGCGTCGTTATACATTTCCTATTTAATTCGGGCACTAATTTTTCGGATATATGTAATAGAAATTATAATTTCCATTCTAAAATAATAAAATATTGTGTAAATATATTTTAGAAAATGAATTTAAGGGCTATATGATTTTATTTAATTAATAATAAAATTTAATTATTTAATTAACGTCTGTTGTTAAAGAATTAACAACGTTGTAATAAATTAGTATTTGTAATAAATATTAATGTACAATTATTAAATAAATAATTATAAAATTATTTATTGAGTACTCCCTTCTGTTTAGAATTTGAAAACAAAGATTATAACGTATTAGTTTTCATGAAGAGGAGAATTCATGTCAATCAGGAAATAAAATTGCAGTACTGCGCGAAGAAAATTGCCTTCAACTCGTCCGTGATTTCCTAGCGGGGTCACATAAAATATTACTCGGCAGATATACCGCAAGATTCCTCGTATCCACGAACTCGAGACGCAATGTCAGGCTGAAAGCGCACCTAACTTTCCGGCAGGTAAAGCACAACAGACACGGATCATTAACGATGCATGCAAAGATTTCTCCTGGGATTCGATATCTCTTTTGCATTATTTCGTGCTTGCAGAAATTCTCGTATACTATTGCAGGTGTTAATCGCCGATCTGTGTATAGAATTTTAACGAATGCGAAAACGCTTGGGACTTTGGAATTTATTCAACCCTTTCGCCCGAGGCTTCTATATAATAGCGGAGAAAAAATGGGACAGAAGCGATTTACCGACCTATTGCCAAAGAGTTTATTTCACGGCGGTGGATCTATATGTATATATTACACACCGTGGCTGGATTTAATTGTATCGACCGTAGTGGAGGAAAGCCGAAGGAACGTTTAAGGTTCACTTGTAAGTGCACCGATATTTTTCAGCGAGTATGCGAGGCTCATTTTCAAGTAGATCACGTGCTTGCACGGGACTGGTACGTAAGAAAGGGAAAATCTGGGGAGTAGATAGGCGGCTAAAGCGGCGTAAAATTTGGCACGATTGTACATTAGACACGCGAGCCAATTAAAACACTCTCGAATATGACGCAGCTGTGAATGAGCAGCGGCGTAGGCGGTAAATCATCGTTTCCCACGTTTCACACGCAATATCGTGCGCGTTTTTCATCGATAATCCCGGCATCAGTGCATTTCATTAAATGTACGATTTAGCGGGTGAGGTAACGAGACTGTTATTTTCAATGAAAAAGCTCGGAAACTTGCAACGCGCGGAATCTGGACGCGAGCTAGACCTCTGTTGCACGGCCTTAATTGCAACGGCTGCAGTTGAGTGCATGAAAAGTAGCTAGCGTAAGAATTGGAATGGTATTTTACACGGTGACGTGACGGGGGTAATTTGCATTGTAATGTAAGTCAATTATCGCGTGCTCCGTAACTCAGGAACGTGTACACGCTACTGATCTCGAGGTTTGTACACGGCCCTTCCTTGCGGGATTACTAGAAATGCACAGAGGCAGCTGCTTCCATCCCCCTCCGTTCGAAATGTTACACTCAAGGGGAATATAGGTGATTGGAGTGCATCCCCAAAGCTACACACGGACTGTCCATGATTGAAATTATCGGATACAAAATGAGCAAGAACGGTGGAAATATACATCGATTACGTTTTTACGACATATTTCTGCAATAATATAATTCTGCAAAATCGCATAATATGAAATCAAATCCCCTGAAAATAGAGAGAACTAATAATGCAGTAGCATTTGATAAAGCAATAAAAATCACATTCAATTTCTGTATCTGTCGAAATATTTTAATATTGAACTAGAAGATAGTTGATCTATATCGGTCACAAAATATCTGTATATAGAACATTTAAAACTGACTGACATTACTTCGGTTATATTCTGATATTCACTGTCAGTACTAAAAATCTATATTTTTCCATATTTTACGTCACATTATACTATAGATTTTCAGCGCTGACAGTAAATATCGGAACGTAGCCTTCGTCGTTAATATATTTTATGTTTAAAGTAATAAATTTTATTTATCAAACATGTGCTTTTCAAAAAGCTGAAGATAAGTTATTAAATATATTTTGAAATAGAAAAGGAATCATTCTATCTTACGTATACCTATATTTTATATAGCTTGAAAATTTTCGGGGAATCTCCGGATCGGTATCGAATGGGCAATGAACTTAGTAAGTAATCTTTGAATATTCAGCAAAATTTAACTATACGACGGTAACTTGAGGAAGTTACCATTTCACGATCGTGGAAACAGCTACAAATGATGGAAGCTGTTACGTCACTGTCCGCTTTAAAATTCAAGACAACGGTATTAATCTTACGGCTTTGTAAACTCTTTCTTCCAATTCATTAAAACTTCGACGTCCGATATGCTGAACGAGAAAGCGTATAAAAGGGAGAGGAAAGAAAATTACGGTCCTACTGGCACCAGAAAATGGTGCATAACTCGCAGTTCGGAACTCGCTCATAGCTTCGACCGGTGTAAACGAGCAAGTCACTCTGAGAGAAACGGACTGGCGTTTTATAATTGAGAAGGAATTGTAGATATCCAAAAGATAGCGGCTCTTTTATCCTTCCTTTTTT